ATATAGGTTCCCTTGCCAATGGGGAGACGTTGGCAATGGACTGTTGACAGTGAGAAAAAGAAACCAAGAAAGTAAAATATGTCCTTCAGATGAAATATATACGATTTTTTAAAACCTTTTAAAGAAAAGACTGGACAGCCACCTGTCTGGAATGGAATCTCCTGCTTGACTAGTGGGTTGGACTAGAAGACCTCCAAGGTCCCTTTCAGCTCTATTCTGATTGAACTTAGCAGAGATTGAAGTTTGGATTGGCAGCCCGGTTCCACTGTTTTTTCCTGACTCAGATTATGCCTTCCATTGCTTTCTCTACTGCTGGGAGATTTTTTCTTTTTTTTTAAATCGAGGCGTTCTCGGTACTTCCCGAGTTTGGCCATTTTCTTGCAGATGTTTCATAGCCCAACTAGGTAACCTCACCAGGGTTAATTAGCCGGATAACAAATCGTCTGCAAGAAAACAACCAAGCCCAGAGAGCACCACGGGGCCCTCATTTCAAGCCTGAGCTACAACTGTTCTCAGTATTTTGAAAAAAAATAAACGTGTGTTTTTTTGGAAATGAAGGTTTGGCCTCTGAGACAGAAAAAACACGGCTTTGAATCTCCTCTCTGCTGAAGGAGAAAGCAACGAGGCATGTAATTTTCAGCGTGAAATATGGTTGCTACTCAGTTCCTACCCGTTAACTGAATGATCTTCAGTGACGGCATGAAAACGGCTTGGGTTCAGAGATTTTTCACATGCCTTCATTTGGTCCTTGGGATGTCAGTTTGCAAACCTTCACCACAGCGGTTGCCATGGGGACCCCAGGTTATGCGCTCAAGGGAGCCTGCCATGTGCCTCTCTTTATCTTCTTGTGACTCAGGGAATGCCTGCCTGCCTCCACCGGCCGCCCACTTATCCATCATGTCATAGCACACATCCCTGGGCACCTGGGGAGAAGATTGCACCATGACTATTGCGAAGGTCTTGGGAACATGGGAATCAGATATGTGCACGGGGCTGGAGCGTGACTATAATCACAATTCTATTTTCCTCTGACTTGGGTGGGTGGGGGGATCAACTACTGAATAAGGTGAGACTTTTCAAGAAGAGATTGGACTGCCATCTGTCAGAAATGGCATAGGGTCTCCTGCTTGGGTGGGGGGTTGGACTAGATGACCTACAAGGTCCCTTCCAACTCTCGCTAATCTGTTAAATCTGTTAAACAGACCCTTAATGATGCATTCATTATTAAGAGAAGAGGGAGTCAACGTGGTCAACGTGGTTAAGGCACCAGGCTACAAAGTGGGAGATGGTGAATTCTAGTCCCACCTTAGCCATGAAAGGCAGCTGGGTGACTCTGGGCCAATCACCAGGAGGTGTGAGTTCTAGTTCCGCCTTAGGCATGAAAGTCGTCTATGGGTGACATTGGGCCAGCCTCAGCACAACCCACCTCACAGGGTTGTTGTATGGAAAATAGGGAGAGGAAGGGGCATATTAGATAAGCTAGCTGCCTCGAGTTATTTATAAAAATATAAATGATGAGGTGAATTGATTGTCGTTGAAAGTAATTCATCTTACTACATCAGGTCTTGGTGAGGCTGTGTGTTCGAAGTGATGCCTCCCATCTGGCCTAGAATCTTGGATTTTCTGGTGGTCTCCCAGTCCAGAATACTCCCCATATTCAGAAAGTCCAAGCCTGTTGGGCAGAGAGAGAAGGTTCTTAGCGGGAAGAGCAACCAGAACTGCCACTTTCGTTTCCAGTGTGCTAAACCAGTCTTTCTGCCTTTGGGAACATACCTGGGCAAGTGTATGCAAAAGCCTACCCATCCTTTTATTTCCTTTCTAGAAAGAGAAGCCACGTTACGCAAAACATGGAGAAAAGGAAAGAAAGGAGGCAGCGAGCCAAAGAACCTGAGCTAGAAATAAGACGACTTAACTGAAATCTACTTTACAGCCACACTGTTCAGGCTTATATTGATTTTGTTCCTTGCAAATCATCCTATCAAATCCACAAATAGCTTCATGCGTCGCTTTCTGTTCTTTTAAAATTCTCACCTTTCTGTTTTCGAGGATCTCATCGACTTCCTAAAATCATAATGATCTCAATCACCCCTTTCCTCTTTCTCTTCCAACCGGGGCTGATCTAAACTAACAAAACAAACCAACCAACAAGCAAGATCGGATCTAATTAGTACTTGGATTAGTTCCCATATGACAAGAGAAATTCTGACACTATCTGATATCTCACAAACATCTGTTACCCCTTTGGTGGCAGTTTTTTTCTTTCTTTTCTGATTTCCATCTCCCTGGTCTGGAATGGAAAGAAGCGAGAGGTTTTTTTAGTTCTGCCATGGGAAGAAATGGGAGCTTTTAGTTCTGGAATGGGAATAAGGGTTTTTAAAGAATAAATACGACCTCGTGGCCACAGCCATGACATTGCCCAATCAAGCTGTAATTCGGTGGTTACCTTGGCAACGTGGGAGATGCATCTGTCTGTTGGATCTCACCCTCCATCAAACATAATGGCTACGAGAGTTTATTATGCAATCCATCTTTTGGAAAAGAAAGGAAAACCAGATTAACCATATGGGACGTGTCAGGCAGCAATGCCTAATAAGACAGTTACTGGTCACTGCTTCACACAACTGAAGCTGATGTCCTTCTCTCGGTTCCAGGAAGATTCGTGAGTGTTTCTATATAGTCCTGCTTTTTTAAGCATTCGTTTTAGGATTAACAGCTTCTTGAACATCGCTCCCAGAGGTATCGAGCTACAAAATTCCCCCCAATGCATGGAGAACCTAAGGTATTTCTATTGCTTCCTTCCCAGCCCAGAGATTGATACTGGTCATTGACCACCACCCCAAAAAATTAAATTGAGCTTGTAAGATTCAGGTTTGATGCACAGGTATCTTGATTACAATAGAAAGATCCAGAGATACCGAGCACACGAAATGATCCCAAATGCAACTTGATTAACTATAGCCTCGGGGTTTCTTTTGCAAAGAATGTGGTAGACCCATTTACAGAAGCTACCTTGCTCCAATCCAGATTGGTTTTGAGCCTCCCTGGGAGAAAGACACTCTGCAGGAGAGATGGATCTTAAAGATAAGAGAGCTGCGAGTCAACCTCACCCTTTCTCAAGATATGTGGCTAAGCATTTTTCAGTCCCGCCCTGCAAGAAACAAATCCTTGTTTATCAGGATGGAAGGAATGCCCCCACTCAACTTTTGGGCAAGGCAAGCGAGGGCGTATGGCTCTCTTCTCATTCAATTTATGGATCCTAAGCAGAGCCTGTTGAGTGGTTTCTATCATGACAGCACATAAGGGACATGATAGCTAGTGCAACAAGACTCACAAAGACTCATTTCTGGTGGAGTTTGGGGGAGAGAAAGAAAAACTTCTGCTGCTTCTGCTGCTTTCCTTGCATGAAGCCAAAAGTCTCTCTCTCTCCCCCCCTTGAGAACGGAGCTGGAGACGGTATCCTGCAATCCCAAATAAAGAATGATTGATCCGTGGGAAAATGGGGTGGAGAATTTTCCTGCAGAGACAGGGTCTCTGGTCTGTGGGATTTAAAATTATGAGGTTGGTGGTCCCCTGAGGTCCAAAAGGTTGGTGACTCCTGGACTAGAAGACGCCCAAGGTCCCTTCCATTATTCTGTGTGTGACTTAAGAGTATCTTCTACCCCTTTTTGCTTCAACTTGTTACATTTATATATCAAGTCGAATAAGAGATTGCACAGCCAGAATGATATAGGGTCTCCTGATTGGAATATTTTCTCCAATTGGTTGCAATGTTTCATTTTCTTTTCTGGATGATGATATCAATATTAAATTTATGTGCTGTCCAACTCCAACAATTAAAATGTATTCTGTTTATTAAATTTATGCCCCACTGCACTTTTGATATCCTATGGAGAAAACATCCCATGTTGATTATAGGGATTCAATATGTCTATAATACAATCTAACATTTCAGGAGATTTGCAAGTGTCGTTTCCCCCATGATTAAACTACCAGTAGTTTATAATATTTTTTTAAGTAAAGTTAAATAAAGCAGACATGGTACTTAAAATCGTTTATACTCTGCATGTTGGCATCTTATAGGATTACTCCAGTATCTGGCTAAACTTAATTTAAATCCTTTCTTAAAATAAAAGAAACATTCCTCCTATGAAAAAAACCCAAATAATTATTTTGCAGTAAAAATTTCCAATCAAGGTTTCCCCCTCTTAGAGTCACAAAAACTAAAATAAACATCCTGTAATAATCCTACTATAAATTAACAGAATAATAGAGTTGGAAGGGACCTTATAGGTCATCTAGTCCAACCTCCACCCAAGCAGGAAACCCTAAACCATTTTCTGACAAATTATTATTTTGTATTAAGACATACCTGGAAATAAAAAAATAGCCTTAATATAATGTTATTAAATATTAGCTATTAAAATTAGTATCTCATAACCATAGTAAAATTTAAAAATATGAAATATGAACTTTTTTTGACATCCCCACTGTCCCAATGAGAAGCTCAATCCCTTTTTCCTGGGTGGACTACAAACCCATCATCGCCACAAGCCAAGCCCAGGGGATGGGAGTTGAGGTACGGGCCTGTACGTCAATCAAAGGTATCAGTGGGGCTCTCATTGGCCGAGCCTCCAGCAAGCTCCGCCTCCGTTTCCACCCCCCTGCCGGGTTCCGCCTTATTTCCTTGGAGACGGTTGCGAGGAAGAAGAGCAAGCACGGGGGGGGGGGGGGGGGAGGAAAGAGGTGCCCCAGGCGCCTGCGCGCTGAGGCGACAGACGCCGGCGAGGCGACGCCGCCGCTCCCCTTCAAGTCTGGTGCGCCCAGTGACGTCGCCCGGCGCGCCCCCGAGCGCGGCGCCCCGCCCCTTCACGGGAGAAAGACCGCGCATGCGCACTGCTTCATTCCTCCCCGTCTCCCTTTCATTTTTCCCCCCAGCCGCTGTGAGCGCGCCCGCCCTCCCGTCCCCGCCGTGCCCGCGCCCTCGTGCCCGCCCCGCTCGTTCGCCCGCCCTTCTCCGCGTCCCTCTGGGGTGGCCGCGGCCCCCTCCGGCCTGGGCGCGGCCTGCGAGGCGGCGATGGAGTAGCCGAGGCCGGGGGAAAGGCCGACGCAAGGTGAGGGGGCGCGGGAGAGAGGGAGTCCTGCCCCTCCCCCTGCCGTGAAGGGAGCGGGGAGGGGGCTTGGCAGGGGCGGGGGCGCCGATGGTGAGCCCCCCCCCCCGAGAGCGGCCTGGCCTGCTTGTGGGGGGGGAGAGCATTGGGGGAGGGGAGTGCCTATCCAAGGCAATTGGGGTGGGGGGCTCTTCGCAGGCGCCTCTGCAAACAGGCATGTCGATCTGGGGGTGGCTTTGGGGGTGGGAGATCGTGACTTATTTTCTGGGGGTGGGGGGTTGATGGGTGTGTACGAAGTGGGCTTATCCTTGCCTCCCCCCTCCCCTATCCCCCCCCTTTTTAAAGGTGTATGCGGGGGGCTTTAAATGGTGATGGACTGTAAGCAGCCCCTTCCTATTGTCTTGAGCTTTTGCAAGGGGTGGGTGGGTTTAATTAAGGCCACAAGAAAGGGGGGGTCTCTAACGGGGGTGCAAAGGGACAGCCAAGGGTGTGAGTGTGATTATGGTGCGTATGGAGGGGAGGGGCTAATGGGGCATTAAGAGGGTGCAAAAGGTGGGGGGGAGATCCAAGCCTGGATGCTCCCAATTCATATGTCAATTTCACTCCTTTGTAAGTCAGTTTCACTATTGGGGTCGAGGCCTTGTTTTCTTCCCAGCCCTCCTCTTTCTCCTCTTTGGGAGCTCAGGGGGTGGGAGGAAGAAACCACAAGCAACACACACACACACACACACACACACACACAAAGGGAAAAATAAACAGGCTCTGGAAGGCGTGGAGTTAAAACCAAGCAAGCAAAGCAATAAAAAAGCTCTGTTGGAACCAGGCAGGAATTGATTAGTTGGGTATTAAGACAAGGGGAAGCTGGGGGGTGGGGGGTAGTGTTTGTGTGATTTGTGTATGTGGGTGTGTGTGTGTAATGGTGTAGCACAACTTCCAAGGACCCACTAGGCCTGGGCTAGGCTTTAGGCAGTAGTGGAGGGTAATGGTTAGCACAATGGAGAAGCCTCCATCCAAGATTATCCCTTCAGTCAAGAAAAGGCAGTAATGAAAGGCATGTAATATAATTACATTATAAGACACATGTCCTTTTAAAAATTATTTGCATTTAAATCGAGGTAGATGTCTTCCTTTATTTGTATTTGGGTACATTTCAAAAACGGGGCTGGAATTATGGGAAGGAAAGGCGTGGTGTCAAGAGTTGGAGAGAAGAGGCCCTAACGTGGACAAGGATGGGGTGAATATGGGGAGAATATTTGTATCTCAACCTGAGGGGGGGGTCCTTGGTGCCCTCCCAGCTCTCTGCTCCGCCCAGCTCAGAGATCCCGGAGGATCCACACTCCGAGGTCTTTTAAGGAGACCGGATCCCCCCCCCCCCGCTCTCCTCCCAAGTGGAAAAGGGCTTGTGACGGGAGTGATCACAGTCACCATTCATCCTTCTGAAGGTGGAAAGCGGGGTGTGCAGGGAGAGATTTTGGCAAAGGCGGGGTGGGGGCGGGGAGGCTAGTGAGATTGCAAAAAAGAAAGAAAGAAAAAGGAACTGGTGATGGATGCGAAGCAAGGAGATCTTGTCAAGATCTCATTGGTTGCCTTTGGGTTTATTTTTGGGGGGGCAGTCAAGCTTCCTAGCAGGAAAGGTGGATCGAGACCCCTTTCCTTTGATCACCCCCCAAAGATGCCAGCAGAAAAGGTAAGAGGATTTACTCTTTTGGCTTATTATCTTCTTGCTTAAAATATTTGCAGCACCCGCTCCTTGCAATGGAGCCGCCGATCCCCTCTTAGGAGTAAGGATGAAGGGACCAGCGGGGGGGGGGGGTTGCTCTACTCTTCCCTTTATTGAAGTCATTTGGGCGTTGGGGGAATCGGACGTTGGATGTTCCCCCTCCGGCCAAGGGTTTGGGCCCCGGGCGTATTATCCGAGTGGGCTTCACCCCTCACAGCCAATATTTGGGGCAGAAGCAAAGTGATGAGCCAGGATCCTGTAAAGTAAGGTGAACATAATAACCATCCTTACTGAGTTGGTGTGCTAGTTATCTTGTTTCCGTTAAGCTGGGGTGGTGGTGGTGGTGGAGGATGATTTGGGTGGGGTGTGTGTGTGTGTGTGTGTGTGAGATTGACTAGCAGAACTTCGAAGAACCCACTAGGCCTGGGCTGTAGGTTTTAGGCAGTGGGCGGGGTGGTTTTCAAACCGAGCTTTGTTGTAATTCATGACCGAACCTTTACAACGGGAAGAAGGGGGGGGGGAACCCTCCCAGGTTTCTGGGATGATAGCAGATCTGTGCCCAACAACAATCAGCTTGAATTTTGAACTGTCATTTCAAAAGGTTAGCCTCTGTTTCTCCAGTTTTTTTTTGTTATGTTATTATTGCAGATGGTGGATGTTGATATTGGTGCCGGTGGAGATAACGCCAGAAGAAAAATGGATGCTCTTACAGATAGCAGCGCTGAGATTGTTCCGTTAGAACTCTACGATTCGTCCAGAGCCAAAATAGCTGCTAATCTACAGTGGATTTGCGCGAAAGCTTATGGAATAGGTAAAAAACCAATAATAATAATAAAGATTCCCATTGCAACATTATTATTTTATCTCTTTCCTTTTCCATTCTCCACCCCAGCTTCTCCTAACCCCTCCTCCGCAAACGCATGGGACTGTTTTCCCTCCATGCTTTGCCCAGACTTCAGTGTACACCCCTTTTCTTGTTGGGAATGGCCGGTAGTTTTAAGTGCAGCACACCCCGTTGTGCCATTGTTTTTTTTTTTCTTTTGGTATCGCCAAGCTCTGCTCTCCCACACATCACTTAAAAAGGCCTGCGAGAATCCAGCATTTGTAGGACTTTAACTCTGCAAGTCTTCTTTTTAGCAGATGCATGCTGCTTAGTTTGCAAGAGTTCGTAATTAATTTTTTTTAAAAAATAAAATCTTGTGGTATGCAGGTCAGTTGGTCACCTTTAAAAAAAAACACCCTGCAGCATTTCTAGAACAAAGTGGTATGAAGCCCACTCATGTGTGGGATCCTAAGTGGTGTGTGTAAAAATAAAGGGAAGCTACGGATGGAAAATATCTTGCTGGTAAACTCCTGTGTGAGCCTGAGAGTGCATGTTGGGACCTTTCCAATTTCTCCCCCCCACCCAGGTTCTCTTGCCAACTTGAGTTTTGCATTGCAGTAAATTCTTTTCTTCCGCTTTGATGTCTTGCTTTCTATCTTTTGAGTAAAGACTTCTAGCTGTTTATTAGTATGGCGCCTCTAACTAAGAGTGAAATACGTAATTCCGAGTTACAGGGCTGCCCTTAATCGAACTTTTAATTTGCCAACTGATCTAAAATTAGCTTGCTTGGTAGTAGGGCTAAAATGCTGTTTATTTCTACTGGCACGTTTGTTTCTTTTCGGCTAGTGCAGTACGTTTTTGTTCTATAAAACTTGTGCGCGAGTAGTTAGACTGAGATTAGGAATATGCTAAACAAAAGTTTCCTGCGCGGAGTTTAAAAAAAAAACCCGAGTTCACCATAGCGTGCTCCGTAAGTGCAGTTAAAATGATGGAGGCTTGTATCACTCCGTAATGACGGTTTGTCTGTTGGGATATTTTGTATCCGATTTTCAGAACTGTAGTGTGTCAGGTTGGAGCCACTGATTAGTAAAGGTTGTGTTTGTGTTTTTCTTCCATGGGAACTAGGGAGCCTGAATAATAAATAGCAGAGTTATAAACGTATCTGTTGGGTTTCCAGGTGGCTGTTAGGAACTTCATTTTATAGAGCCCAGTTGAGTGGATTTTGGAATTTTCTTTCAGATTCTTTCCTAAATAATTGGCCAAGTTTCCTTAGGCTTCCCAGGATAATTGGTATAATTTCTGTCAATGTACAGAAGCTGTACCGTTGTTTATTTGAGATACTTGGTTTCATTTCTGTCGGTTTGCAACTAGTCAGTTGTAAAAAAAAACCATCAGATTTTAAGTTTGGCGTTAAGGCTTATTATCTCTCCTCCCACCACCACCAATATCTTAAATTAAGGAGTTGCTATTTGGGACCCAGTGAGCACCAGGAGAAAGCTGAAATTTGAATTGTTTACTAAGGGATTTGGTGAGAGTTGAGAAGAATAAAAGAGAAATCTGTAAATTTTGCCCAGTTTTAAAAGATCTTGGTAAAATATCTAAATTTGTATGGGACTTGATTGTGTTGTAAATTTTAAGAGAAACTTTGTTTTGTATTGTTGTACTTATCTGGTTTATGGCAAAAAGGTTAAGGGGGATTCCACCCATTTTCTTAACATTCCCCTTAACTTGGGAAAGTTCTTAGAGAAACTAGAATATATTCAGAATTGACCACTTAATTCCTTTTAACTCACATCGTCCAGGATGAAGTTCTGTAAGAGTCAGGAAACAGATTTCTTCATAAAGTATAAAACCACGGCCCTGTGTACCTCCAATCTTCTAAAAATCTTTGGAAGGCTTCAGACTTAACTCTACTTCAGAAGAATCTTGCTTTATTTATGGTAGATCTCTGTACAGCCTCACCCAAATTCAAGATTTCCTCCAGCGCCTACTTTGTAAAGTTTGAATGGCGCTGCTGAGAGTAAATCACCTTTGAGTTGTGTGTCCAAGAGTAATTTTGTGATGACATACAAACCTGTCTTGCACTCACACGAGAGCTGGCGGGACAAGAGAATAGGGATCTTAAGGAGCTGCTTTGGGATGAAACAAGGCAAACAAGCTGAAACAGAACCCGGAGAAGGCGGTGGGAAAGCCTGCAGATCTGGATGAAGGCGTTGAACGGGTTCACAGTGTGGTGGCCCTCCTGGCCTTGGGGACTGCATTTCTTGCTGCGGTGTCCAGGAGCGCCAGTCCTGTCTCCATGTAGAAATTCAGGCCCGATTATAAACTGCGTCCAAGCTAGGTGACTGAGCTTGTGCAGATATCTAATTGAGAGCATAAACCAAACTGCAGTAGTCCAGCGAGTTGCTTTTGAAGTTTTGATTTGACAGAGCCAGCGTGCTTCAAGGTGCTGGATGAGAATAGGGGGTGGAAAGTGACTTTTTAGATCGTTCTGTTTAAATCCCAGCCCTACCCAACAGGTTGTTGAGGGAAAGAATTGGAAGCGGGAGAACTGCGTCCTCTTGCAAAAGAAAACGTGGAATTGCTATGAACAATATGATGTCGTTTGGATCAAACCGTCCCGTCCCGCCATGTTCCATCTGAAAGATTTTAAATGATAAATTCCTTGAAAATTGGCTCTGTCAATCCACCTAAACTTTATAATTCTTCAGGCTTTTTCCCTGTTGTTTTGATGCTATATGGCTCCTGGGGAATGTTCAGTTTTCTCCGCGAGGGGCCCGAGTTCTCCTTGTTTGCTAATCACTATCCCTTCCAGCCTGCTGTTACTGCTGCTGCTACTACTACTTCCATTTATATATCACCAACTCCCAGCAACTATGCATTCAGCCCTTCCAGATTTTCTCTGGGTTTTCCCTTTGATCCAAATGGGTTTCTGATTGGTTTGCTAAAGCAGCTCCTTTGGGTTGGGTCCCGTTAGATCAAAGCTGTGGAGTTTCAAGATTTCCCACTGCCTGGACCTGCAGGAGGTAGAGGGTGATACCAGATTTTCCCTGCATGATTGTATGGTATTATTCCCTGGGGAATCGGAGCACTTGAGTTCTAATCCTTTTAAGACCAACTTGATAGATGTGCTGTAGATATAGAGGAAGGATACTCATTTTGATGGGAAGTCGCATTCCTGAGTTTTGGGTCGGATTCATAGAGATACTGTGGGTGGTTAGCCGAGCATTATTTACCACAAAATGATATGTCCACCTCTTTGAGAAAGCAATGTGTCCTTATTTTTAAAATAAGGATTTTTTCCCCTCGCCTGGTCAGCTACATCTTTCATTAAGTTGCTGGTCAGCTTTCAGCTTTGTGGTGTCAACACCCGTTCTCTCTTTTGGGACTCGCTTGTCTTTCCCTTCCAGACAACATCCCGGAGGAATTAAAAGATCCTTTTTATATAGACCAGTATGAGCAGGAACACATTAAACCGCCTGTCATCAAGCTGCTGTTATCCAGCGAGCTGTATTACCGCGTCTGCAGCCTCATTCTCAAGGGGGATCAGGTGGCCACGCTCCAGGGACACCACTCAGTCATCCAGGCGCTCTCTCGGAAAGGGATTTACGTCATGGAGAGCGACGACAACCCCGTGTCTGATTCCGATCTTAGCTCTGCGCCAATCAAAATGGTGAGTTCCAGAAAGCCAGGAGTTGAGTTGGTGCCAGTCCTGAACTGGCCAGCCCCTTTTCTCAGCCGTCTTGAGGAAGGGATTGAACCCAGCGTGGGGGTTGTTTTTTTGGTCCTGTAGAGTCCTCACATGGCCATGATTGATGCTCTCATGATGGCCTACACCGTAGAGATGATCAGCATTGAGAAAGTCGTGGCCAGCGTCAAGTGTTTTTCTACATTCAGCGCCTCGAAGGAGTTGCCCTACGATCTGGAGGATGCGATGATATTCTGGATCAACAAGGTAAATCGGGAGCCCGTTTGATGTGGAAACTCGGGTTATCGGCAAACACCAGCGTGGGAGCCTGCAAGTGACTGGGTATAATTTGTGTCTTCTAATATTATGAAAGCAAAGAGGAAGAAAACTGTTTCTAGAACATATAACTCTAGCTAACTTTGTAAGAAAAGTCACCTTGGTTCTAAGCAACAGATTATAGAATAAAATTAGCCAGCGCAGGAGAATTAAAAGGTGCAAAAACGGAGAGTGTAAAAATCTCCTTCTCATGCTTAGATTTCAAAAAAATAAGTATGTAACCAGAAATATCGGACTTAAATTTCGAAAATGCATTAGAAATCGAGTAGGAAATAAAACACCGGAAATCCATTTACTTAGGTCTGGGAGTAATTTTGTTTTTATGGCTTGGAGGCTGATTTATGATTTAGAGAGGGTGCCTATATATGAAGAGTGTGTGTGTGTGTGTGTGTGTGTGTGTTTGGAGCATCTATATTGCTTTGAATTTGAAGCTGCTAATTGCTTTGATTTGATTGTCATCTGGATTCGATTGTAAGAAAAAGGGAGTGAAGCCCAGGGTTATGGACAGCCAGAACACCCCCTTGAGTATTGAGAAGGCTGGGAGAAGGGACAAAGCCCTGAATTTTGGCAGTTAAAATAAAACTCAGGGACAGGAATACCATTGCTCTTGTTACCTTCCCCTCCCCCCTCTGTTCTTTTAGGTGAACCTAAAAATGAGAGAGATCACGGAAAAGGAGATTAAATTAAAACAGCAATTACTGGAAAGCCCAGGTCATCAGAAGGTAAAGCACATTAGATGAAACGGGTCGTTTAATTGATTCATGTGGCTGTGACTTGGAAGCAAACCTCACTGTTTTCCTATCTGCTTTTGCTCTTATATCAGTAGAATTTGCGATCCTGTCTTGCATTTCTTCTACAAAATTGTTCGGTGTTTCAGATCCTCCTCCCTCCCTCCCTCCCTCTCTGGTGCTTTCCTCACTTCCTGTCTTCCTCCCTCCTCCTCTCTCTCCTTAATCTTTTTCCTTTTTCTTCTTCCTTCCTTCCCCTTCTTCCTTTCTTCCTTCTCTTCCTTCCTTCCTTCTCTCTCTCTCTCTCTCTTTCTATGTATATGGAGTGATTTGAATACTTTAGAGGTTTCAGTCGCCATCTGCTGAGGTGCCAAGGTTTCAAAATGAATGGAATTTGGCGGCTGCTATGACAGTCCACTTCTAAAAGTTTACTTTGCATCCCACATTTTATTTTATACAGTATTTACTTTATAGTTGTCATCTTTTCCAGATTTTTTTTTAAACAATACCTGTTAAAATTGTGTCTTGCTTGAGCTTTGATATTTCACCTTGTGGCGGGGGTGGGGGTGGGATGTTGTCTTGAGACAGAGGTGAGTGGGAGATTTTAACATCTGCTGAGAAAACCTTGTAGGTTTACATTTGCAACAGACCTTGATTTGAAGCTGTTTGGGTCTTCACAAGCGCTAACAAAATTGACCGTATCTGTAGCAGTAGTTACTCAGCCTGTGGTTCACGGATACCTGGGGGGGGGGGGGGGGGCACGATGTCACAGGGACCCTGCAAAGGCTTGAAGAAATATTATGATTTAAACCTTGAGTTAAGTCTTGGGAGGGTCGGTGGCCACAAAAGGTATTTGAAGGGGGCCTGGGGTGAAGAAAAGATGGAGAACCCCTGATCTGCAGAAGTCTTCAGAAGAATTAGCGCTGCATGTGTTCAGTCCTTCCCTTCTTTTGTTCCTTTGAAGTACCAGACATTAAAACTAACGTGTGCCATTGCACTTCCAGCATTAGACTATTTGAGAAGCACGAAGCACACTTGCCGCAACGGTGGGCGGGCATTTCCAAATCCTGCCGAGAGATATTCTTAACTGGGTGTGGAAAAGGCTGCTGTCGAACTTTCATATGGCACAGTCAAAGACTTTCAAATGAGCTCCTAATGCATGCAAATCCTCAAAAGAAGTGGTGCTTCTTGAGTCTTTTTTTTAAAAAAAAACACCCTTTCCTGTGTCAAAAGGGTTCGCGATATGAAAGGGCGGCCCGGGTGAGGCTCACGTAAAGTTTGCTTGTAACATGCTCTGATGATGATCCTGTCCTCTTCCCACCTTTCCACCCCCTGCTTCCCGAGCAGTCTCCTTCCAAGTGGTATTGGAAATTAGTGCCTGTAAGTCAATTAATTCTGTATGAAGAGTTGTTATCCACCAAAACCATTGGCTTTTCCATCGGTCTTTTGATTTGCTTCCATTCAAAGCGCCGCCTTCCACTGTTCGCAATGTTTTCTCGGCTCCGGGCGTCCTTTTTTTAACCAAGTTTAGATTTCATTTCATGATTCTACGTACTGTAACTTGTAGCATCCATCACTAGGCAGATTTCATGGTTGCCGATGCCGAAACTCTAGGAAGAAGAAAGGGCAAGGAAACCCTAGACGGTCCGTTCAATTTCAAAAGATTCCTTCCTTGCAAGCATTTAAGGTGGAGCTGGTCAGTTTAAAGCCATTTGGGCTTCCTTCCCTGAAAAGGAGGGAATTGGTCAGTATGTTTGGATTTCCATAGCTTGTTTTGGAAAACGTATTTGTAGTAAAAGTCCCTCCCCGCCCACTCTAAACTCTTTCACGTTACCATCTCGGTCCACTAAATCAAAATCAAATCATGCGAAGTATTAGCACCACTTTATAAATCCTTAGGAAGAGCACACCTGGAATACTGCATCCCGGTTTGGTCACCACATTCTAAAAAAGATGTGGAGACTTCGGAAAAAAATGCAAAAAAGAGCAACTAAGAGGATTAAGAACCTGGAGGCTAAAAACTGGGTCTGTCTAGTCTAACGAAAAGAAGGACGGGGGTTGACGTGAGCGCAGTCTTCCAGTGTCTCAGGGCCTGCCCCAAAGAACGGGGGAGCCAAGCTGTTCTCCAAAGAAATTTCCTGACCGTGAGAACAATTTATCAGCGGAACGGAAGTTGCCTTCAGAACTTATGGATGCTCCAACATTGGAGGTTTTTAAGAAGAGACGGGACAGCCACCTGTCTGAAATGGTATAGGGTCTTCTGCTTGAACCAGGGGGTTGGATTAGATGACCTCTAAGGTCCCTTCCAGCTCTATTCTGATTGATAGATCTAAGATCTAAATGTACAGATCTTGCACCCAAAAGCAACTCTTTGGTGTTTTATTACGACAGATGCTCACCTTGACCCTAGTTAGAGTTGCCTTTTTCTTGTGCTCCATCAGTGTTTGCAGATAGACACTGGGGCTGTTTCGGTCCCTCCCTGGTCCTCGTTGAGCCCACCACTCGCTCAATTAACCGGAAGGTAGAATTCCAGCTCCCCTGTGGCACATCGGCACAAAACACCCTGTTCCTGAGCAGCCTTAGTGACAGAGTGCTTAGGGTTTCATAAATGTTGACTTGGACCGACTCTGGCACCAGGCATCCGATTCTAATTAAGAATAGCAAGTGGCAGTTGAATTTTTGGAAAAGTTACTGCCGGCCTGAGGCCACTTGTAAACGCTTAACACTTAAAATAAACTTTAAAAGTTTATTTAGCACAGCAACACCATGCAGTGTAAGTTCCGCTCCAATGGCCCATTGATCCTTTCCTTTTGTGAGAGGAGACTTCACGCAGAGATCAGCCAATTCTGCCCCTCCCAAACGATATTAGGTCGCATACAAAAAGATGGCCACCCCGTGCAAAAGTCCTTCCGGTTCATTATGATCCTTAAAATTAAATGCAGTTTAGACTTCTCCAAATGAAGTCACGAGTTCAGGATTCAACCGAAGGCCCTGCAATTTGAACAAATCTTAACTCCCTTTTTGCTGCTTCAGCTTGTGAAGGCAGAAGGGGGCTAGAGTGAGGACTTTAAACCCACCAGTTCACCTTACTGTGGGAAATAATCACGCTCAAGGTTTAATGTAACATTACACTGAAATTATATGAATGGTGCGGTGGCCTAGAGATAGAGCTCTTGCCTCACAATCAGGAGGCTGTGAGTTCGATCCTAGGTAGATGCAGATATTTCTCTCTCTGGGCCCAATGAGAATATATCTGCTGAACAAAACTCCACATTGGCGACAGGAAAGGTATCCGGCCAGTAAACACCCTGCTAGCTCCATTCAGTTGCCCAGGCTCCACCCTGCAAGGGATTATGGGGTCGTTAAAAGAAGATGATTAAATTGAAATTATATATGTGATTTCTGGTTGCCATCTTTTAGCTTGCAATGATGACGATAATTTGCTTGGGACCGATCCTGTGCATGCCTTGCTAAGCGCATGATACATCTAGTGACTTACGCTCCATGGTACAGTATGATTCACATTACACAACAATTTGTGGAAAGCCTCAGGCTGAATGAAAAGCCTTTTCGAAAGTATCACAGTTCAAATCTTCCTAGGGGACCTTCGCCCCATGGATCAGGTTGTATTTCTCAGTCCTTTCTTTTTATTTCAAGATTTTGGCACAGCCTTTTAACCTCTTGCCTAGCTGATACTAATTTTCAAATTCGATACCGATTCTGCAACGTTGCATTTTCCCTTCTGCTCAGAGCTTCCCAGCAGGCAAGATCAATTTGGAAAAATAGTTTCTCAGCCTTCGCTTTCCTCAAATATTTCATATGGAGACATGGCCTTACTTAGCTGAATAGCAGGTTTGTGTTTTACGTTTCGCGTTATTCTCGAGAAAAGTGGTATAGCTCTAGTAAGTGTCAGTTAAAAGGCTGTAAGGGCTCAATATAATATTATGAAGTTTGCCTTTTGTTTAACTTACTGTGCTTTTTCTGCTAAACTGGTGGAGTTTTCAGTTGCATCTTTTTTTGCAATATTGTATAGTGTCCTTTGAAGTTTAATTTAAATATTTAAATTAATATATTTATATGTTTCAATAATGTGCGAAGAATCTATGAAAATGCTTTGTATGCTTAATGAAAGTGCTGGAAATAGTCGCCTTAATTATTTTGTCAGAGGCAACTTACAAGTGAAGTAAGTTGTTGATCAGATTAATAGTTAAATCAAGTATGTGTTGGTAGTGGGTGGAAAAAGAGACATACCATTGTAATGAAAATACTAATTAGATAATTACAAACTTTTGCCTGTTCTGAAGTTTCTATTTTTTTCCCCTGGTGTGTTTCTTAGAAAGAATAGTATTCTTAAGAATATTAGCTTTCATGCAGGGTCTGCCTTTAGAAAGACGATTCCAAAATTAGCAAGCAAGTATTCACAAAACCAACAAAAGGATTTGTAAAATAGACAGCTTCTGGTTTTAATCAGGGCAGAAATATTTGAACAGGGCCTTGGGAAAAATGAGTTCTAACCCAGCCTTGGAATCTCGCTGGGTCCAGCCTTTGGGCCAATCGCAACCGACCTCGAGGGTTGTGGGGTTGGAAAAAAAACGAGCTCCGAATGAATGAAAGAAAGAATGGAAAATCTCACAGGTTTTGCCTTTTCCTTTCTCAGGTACGTTACCGCCGAGATCATCTCTCGAGCCGACAGCTGCCCTTTTTCCCATTACTTGAGGACCTGATGAAGGATTGTAGTGATGGAGCCGCTTTGTTGGCTGTCATCCATTATTATTGCCCTGAACAAATGAAGCTTGATGGTACGTCGATAACAGAGTTTAAAAGAAACTCAAATCCTGCCTGAATCAAATGTTAGGAGATGCCAAAGTGATCGGGGACTGTCAGACTCTTCCTTAACTGTCTCTCATTGCCCTACGCCGGAATAACCAGTTTCAGGCACAATGTTTTCATAAAGTTCAATCCAAGCATCCTTTGGTATGTAGCTCCCTCCTCCTTCCAGCTGGTTGACCTTGAGGCAGCCTCTCAAGGAGACACTGCACTTATTTTCATTTCCCCAAGCATTCACTCCTTCCTTCCATCTCCCCACAATTCACGACTGTTTGTCACCACACTGCAGCGAAGCACAAGCAAACCTAAGGTGGCAGCTGACTGTGACGTTTGATTAATTGTGGTGTTCTTTATAACTATGTCATATTCTAAGGGAGTGATACCTGCTTGGGGTTAGTACTCTTAATTGCTAGATGACCTACAAGGTCCTTTCCAACTCTGTTAATCTGTATTCAATGAGAGATATTTAGCTCATGTTAAAACATCTTTCTCTGGCTGAAAGCAACAGAACAAATTGCTTCATTTTTGCTCAGATCAGATTTTTGCAAAATTAGAATAGAGTAGAATAGAATAGAATAGAATAGAATAATTATTGGCCAAGTGTGATTGGGCACACAAACAATTTGTCTTGGTGCAAATGCTCCCAGTGTCCATAAAAGAAAAAATACATTCGTCAAGAGTCAAGAATCATCAGGTACAACACTTAATAATAGTCCTAGGGTACAATAAGGAATCAAATCACACTAGGAAACAGCCAATATAAGTCGTTAGGATACAAGCAACTAAAGTTACAGTCATACAGTCCCAAGTGGGAGGGGATGGGTGAGAAGAAGTGATGAGAAGATTAATAGTAATAGTAGCGTAGACTTTGTAAATAGTTGGACAGTGTTGGGGGAATTCTTTGTTGAGCAGAGTGATGGCGTTTGGGAAAAAACTCCCCTTGTGTCTAGTTGTTCTGGTGTGCAGTGCAGCCCTATAGCATCATTTTGAGGGAAGGAGTTGAAACAGTTTATGTCCAGGATGTGAGGGATCTGTAGATATTTCCACAGCCCTCTTTTTTGTCTCGTGCAGGATACAGGTCCTCCATGGAAGGCAGGTTGGTAGTAACTGTTTTTTCTGCAGTCCTAATCATCCTCTGGAGTCTGTGTCACGGCCAACTCGCTGTGGAACAATTTAACAATTTGATTTAAAGATTTAAAACAAATTTTTAAAAACACTTTCATTTTTGTCATTGATATTTCATCCCGTCCCCTCCCCCCTTTTTGCCTCCTTTCTTTAATGATTCCTTTCTACATTTCTTTGATATTTGTGTAAAATTATCCCGTGGCAAGGTGTCCTACAGTGAGTTGGCCAGGGCAAATTTTCAAAGACCCTCCCTCACCCCCCCCACCCCCCCAACATAATATGGCATTTTCTGGATGTGCTCAGCATTTCAAGTCTTTGAATTTCTTTACTTCCTGTTGGCTGGGAAACCTTAAAATTGCAGCCTTCAAACGGTGTCAGGTTGCTGCTGATGTCCTCTGTCTGGAGCCACGGAAACTGAGAGGCTATTTTGGGGGTGATTCTCTTGTTTCTTCCTTCCAATTCCTAGAAATTTGTTTGAAAGAGGTGACATCGATTGCAGACAGCATCTATAACATTCAGTTGCTTCGAGAATTTGCCAACGAGTACCTGAACAAATGTTTTTACCTCACTTTGGAAGATATGTTGTATGCCCCTTTAGTTCTAAAGGTAAGAGAGAGGGAAGGCGCTGAACAGACTTTTCAATAACGTGCAGGCGATCTGGTTTATACTCCTTTTTTCCTCCTCTTCTTTTCCCTAGCCCAACATAATGGTTTTCATTGCCGAATTATTCTGGTGGTTTGAGAACGTCAAGCCGGATTTTGTGCGCCCCAGGGACCCCCAAGAAGTCAAAGATGGTGAGTCATTTGGGCTGGGAGGATTCGTCAAGAGTAGCAAAGAAATTTTACAGTGGAATTGATTTCCCTGTCTTTACCCTGGGGGATATTCTAAGTCTTCTTCATTTTCAAAATGGCAAATTGGTCTTTTTTTGTCAAGATGCAGCAAATGGCTAAAGAAGAGGGACTTTGGGCCAAACCCCCCCCCATTGTTCTTTCTTTTCTCTCTCTCTCTCTCTCTCCCTCCCTCCCTCAGTTAAGCTACCCAGAACCGAACTGAAGAGAACAAAAATTTGGCCCATTGGCTCCTCTTGGCTTCTAGGGGCTCACTAAGAAAGGATTGTTTTTCGAAATGGCCATCAGAGCATTTAGAGTATTTCCCATATTATCATTATAACTGTTGTTGTTGTTGTTGTTGTTAACATGCTCTGAGGCTAAGGACTTCGACTTTCTCTCCCCACCTGAAAAAAAGAGATCCCTTCCAAACGCAAAACGCAAGCAGAGGAGAGGAGGTTCCCTTTCAGAGCACCCAGCAGCTTTAGTACAGAACAGTTGAGTCCAACCACGCCCAGGTTCCTTGCTGTCTCCTTGCTCACACAGCTCAGACTGCTCCAGTTTCCAAACAGCCCTCCACTCTCTCACACCCTGACAGGAATTTTTCTTTCTTTCTTTCCCTCCCCAGAAACTAAGCCCGGCCACATAGTTTCGTAGCGAAGCGCAGGTATCCAGCTAGTCGGCCTATATGTTGTGAAATTAAACCTTTTAACACTTAGCAGATTCTTCCGGTGTCTCTTTTTTGGGGGGTGGGGTGGGGGTGGGATGTTGGAGCTCCAGTTAAACCCAACGCCGCTGTGTTCCAGCTAAAGCCCTCCTGCATCAGAAGAGCAGCCGCCCGTCGGTCCCCATCTCCAATGCCACAAAGCGGAGTTTCATGCCGAGTCCGGCGGTCTCCAGTGCCGCCGACACGCAGCTTGCGGGCCAGCTCTCACAGGAGGCTGGCGGCAGGTAAGGCCAATGCCCTGAAATACTTGGAGGACTTGGAAGCTCCGAAGGGAGCCAAACAGGTCCCGTCGGTTCCGACCGGAGTGGCAGACTTCAGCGGAGGCTCTGCTCCTCCTCCTGTCCCACCAAGACCGGGAGAAGCACCCCAGCTTCCTTGGCTGCGGTTTGTCCCCTCCCTCCTCCCGTACAAATCAGGAAAGGAAACCCTGGTCTCCAAGGGCCTCTTCCGAACAGCGTAGAAGCCAAGAGGCAAATTTCATTAGAGCCGGAAACCCTTCGCAGAGACCAGCCCGAGGTTAACCGAGCCACAAGGACACGAAGCAGGCAAGGGGGCGTTTGGAGAAGCTCCCCGTTTCAGCCCCGGACGTGTTCATTGCATCTGGACCCAAATCATCTGGGCTTTCGGGTTGCCCTCCTTTCCTCTGGGATCATCTCGTCCCACGTTTGAACTGCTTTGTGCGGTGACCTCGCTGGCCTGTTTTTTTTTCCTGTCTCAGTCGCTTCACCCTCCCTGGCCGAGTTTAATGGTAATTAATTTTGAAGAAAGAACCCTGGAGGCCTAGGTTCCTCTTCGCTCTTCTGTAATTATTTAAAAGAAAAAAAAAGAATGCTCCCTTTTAAGACCGCATGCCTTGTCCCCTCCACAAGCAGCTCTTCGGTTTGCGGCTGTCTCGAGTGTGATTTTTTAGCTGACTTGGTTTTTATTTTTTCTTTTGCTGTGGTTGGCCTTTAGGGAGGAAGGCTTGGGAGGGGTCGACCGATAGGGGCTTCCTTGCCCATTCTGTTCGAAAAGAAAGCCTCTTATAAGACACCTGCTCTGGTGTGTTTCCCAACAGTGGCAAAGGAGGTCCTGCCTTCAGCCCGTCGCACCCCTTGCTGCCTTTAAGGCAGAAGCAACAGAAGACGGTCCAGGGAGAAGACACTGCAGGTAATTGCCCAATTCCCGTCCTTGGGATTCATGTAGGAGCAACTTTCGAGGTGGGCGGAGAGAGAGAGTTGATGTGTGAAGCTCTCATGGCTGCTGAAGGGGCGTCTATACTGCCCGGAGGCTGGTCCTTCCTTCCTTCCTTCCTTCCTTCCTTCCTTCCTTCCTTCCTTCC